CAGAAGATTTGTAGGCAGTTGCTTCTCACCCTTCTGGATTGAGCGATTTGCCGAGTTTGAAAAGCTTTTGAGTGTTCTTCTACCAAGCTCCATCTCGTCTTGAAGTTGCAAAACATAGTATCCATCGTCTCGGTTTGTATCACGATTTGACGCAATACGCATAAGAAAAAAGTTTGCCTTCAATGATTTGCAGCAATTGACACAAAACACACTGATAATGACAGTGCCCAGTGGAATGAGTACTATTATTTTGCATGATGCCACAATTACCTTCTGACAGATAATGCAAAGGTTTAGAATGAGGTGATACAAATTGTAGACAAGAGCTTTTGATATCCGACCACTTAATGGGAAAGCTAAAGGAATCTGTTTCCACTCCGACAACTTTTGCGTCCAGTACTTCTCTACTTCACAGACCTTGGTATGTTTCTTAACCCATTTAAGGGACAATTTGAAACTTAAGGCTGCAAAGCATCTGAATAATGGGGCAATGATGCCCACTAAAATTGCAATGGATTGTATTATGACAATCACAACTATCGACCACTCATAATCTGAACCGAAATCTAAAAAGGCAGCTCCTCCATAATTATTTACGCAGGTGTACACAAGGAAATAGTAATGCAGGGCTATCGTAGGCACACAAGCTATCCCAACCGCACAGCATAGTGGAGTGGTAATCATAACAAACTGCGGGCTAGAAGTTCCTGCCATCATCCAATATTTTCTCACATGTTGTATTAGTTCTTCAACCCTCGACATTCTTGTACGTTGTGGATGTACGTCATTTGAAGTTGTGTTTTGTACCCTTTGATACTTAAATTCCAATATCTTTTTTGAAGTTGGAATCGTTAATGCCGAAGATATCATTATTACAAGTAAAAAGAGCATTACGCCTTTACATAGTCATCAAAGTACCTAACAACCACACCGGTCTTGATCTCGATTAAAAAATTGACAAGGATTGTGATAACGAGAATGACCATACCTGCAACATTTGCAAGAAGTTCCCTATTGTCCATAGACGCCAGAGAAGGCATCAAATTAGACATCATAGTACACATGAAGGTCATGCTTCCCGACTTGGCTAATTGGTCCATGGTGCCCGGCATCTGACCACTCAGATCGACAGGGAGCTTCATTGCGATGGTTATGAGGGTGATAGTAGCAGTGTTGAGAGTGAAATATTTGGATGGAAACCAGAGCTTTCTATTTCGAAAACCATGGAACAGATCAGCGAGCATGAGAAACATACACAATAATGTTGCTACGGCTATGTAGATCCCGATCCACAACATGGATTTGCTATAAATCTTCCCTCTTTCTAAAGCATATATCTTTTGGCAGAAACCGATCAACAAATCTCTGTCTCTGGCATCGAGGGTGTTACTCATACGATGGGATGTATATGCATCAAGCTCCAACACTTGCCAAATTCTCGTATAGTCGTCGGAAGCTGAAGTCATCTTGGAAATCAACTAGTAAAAAGGGATATGCAATTAATTGTTGTTGAATTTAGCATATGAGTGCGTAATTTATTTATATCGAAGGAAAACTTTAGAATTTATTGTGACAATTAGTTGTGGTGGTTCAAACGCAAAAGTTAGATCTGTTGGCTACTATCATATATTATTAGAGCCTTAATCATTACTAATAAATAATGAATATCTCAAGAACCATACAGGAAATTGTTCTAAGTTAACAACAAACTCTTCATCATATAATTTGTCTGAAAGAATCAATCAGATATTATTGTCTGAAAGAATCAATCAAGTCGAAAGGAAAATGTTGCAGGAGTAGCTTAATTATAGTCTTTTTGCCTTAAGAAATGGAGGTATAATTTATACAAACAGACACAAATCGAGTGAGAAAATACCGTACAAGTTTTCTGGGTTTAAAAAATTAACAAACTTTCCCTTACGATTAAGACAAGTTTGTAGTAAAACTAATAGGAGTTAAGAACAT